ATATATATATATATATTGATTATGTTTCAAACTGTGAGCTGTCTTCAGGTGTTTGCGTTCTAGGGATTCGGCCATCCTTGAGTTGCTAAGCTTTCGCCGAGTTCTCCTGTCATGCCTGAAGACTTTAGACTTGGGTGCTCGGATGCTCAGAGCATCCTACTGCAGGCTTTTGCCCGTTTGCCCTTGCGGGTCAGTCAGGGCTTGCGGGTTTTGAGGTTTGAGGTTCAGATATAGCATAGTTTAGGTGGCTTGAAACCCGAAGCACCGCAAGCCTCACCACAAGATGAACTCATGTGCCCCTGGCGTATGGACACCGGACATCCCCCCCCCCCCCCCCGGGGCCCCGAGACGTCCAAGAGGCCGGCTTGTTTAAAAACCCGCATCGCGAACGGATGTCAGAGTTCCCTGGGCACCCAGTAGGTGCGTTATGGGACTTCACGGATGATCTCTCTTTTGGCAGTGACTGCTTGAATTGGTTTGGCAAAATTGCGCGTACCGAACGCGTGACAGAGTTCCCTGACATCTTTTGAAGCTACCAACCCATGTCTTGCAATATACCACAAGCACCGGGAAATTCTGTTTCCACGCCATGGAATGCCGTGATTGACGGTCTGGGGACATGATGACCTCATGATAGATGGAAGCTTTTTCGGATCATTGCCGCTGGCCTGAACCCAAAACTGCAAAGCCGAGGTGTGTTTGGAAGGGCTGCAGTCGATGCCGGAGCTCAACGGCAAAAACGGCCCCTTTGCTGAGCTTTTTTGCGTTTCGATCACTAGCCGAAGCGTGTTTACGATCTACTCAGGTCTATGTCGATGCTGCACAGTCTAGGGCTAAGGGTTTAAGGTTTAGTTGGTTCATACTTTGGCGTATTTAAGCATCCCGCCTCGGGCCGGCACTTGCATCACTTGCGTCTTTGCCAGTGTGATCATGTGGGCATGCGTACAAATACAGAGATATTCAAACAAACAGCGGAATCGCTTGTTAAAAATGGGCTTGGCGGCCCGGGCCCGNNGGCCCGAAGCCAACGGAGGTAGTATAAAATGTTTGTTTGGGTATTTAAAACTCCTAAACCTAAAAATAGTCACCGTAATGGTTTTATCTACACACATACGGATCTGCATGTATGTGTGGTTCATGTGCTCATGGGTCGATCTAGCCCTATACGCTGGACTATTAGACAGCCGTTCCCACTCATTCGCACCAGTGTTTGTATGCCTGCGGCAGTCGGGCGAAAACCTATGCACCGGCAACCGAACGCGCGAAAGCTTGCATGCGAAGCAATCGGGGTTTGGAGGCATCCATCTGGACAGCTTTGCGTTATGCGGATCATGCGCCCAGACACACGAGTTTCAGGAGGGCGGAATCCTGTGCTTCAAAGTCTGAGACCCGGTTGATCCGAGGCAAGCTCCTCGACTGGGATGGTCAGGCCATGCGTTGGCGGGTCCTTGTCGAAGACGGTATTGGCATCAAGCCGCCGGCCTGCAGAGCTTGAGGGTGCTGCGGGAACGTAACAGCCATCGAACAGAACGCAGCAATAGGCCACAATCAAACAAGTAGTAAGCAGTGCTGCTACCGCAACGATGCTAGTTACGACAATGACGGCGAATGCCACTATCAATTATGACGCCAAGAATCCCACTAGATACTACATACTACTGTGTAATTCTGCCTCCTGTGTACTACTAAGTATTACTAAGTACTATTATTATTACCACTACTACTACTACTACTACTACTACTACTACTACTATTGCGACGACGACGACGACGACCACTACGACCACTACGACCACTACGGTCCCTTTTTAGGTCCCCCTTATAATACGACACCCTTATAAAAAGGACCCTAAAAGGGACCCTAATTTAGAGAACTACCCACATACTTCCACTTGTACTGGCAACAGTGGCAGGCGCTCCTGTGCTCACGCTCAGCTCTGGAGCAAACAGAGCAAAGAGCCCTTCATTGCTTGGCACTTTTGGCACAACCTACTGGCGCTGAACGGAGAATGGACAAGGGTGTATGCCCCGAACCCTACACCCCCAACCCCTAAAACCCCTAAACCTGAAGGGGTGCACTCCCAATTCTCCGGCTAAGTCTGGCCTGCGCTGCAAGCCTTCACTGCTGTTGCGGCCTGAGAAAACTCTTGGCTTTCATGGCATGGTGGTTTCTAAAAAGAGTAGGGTTTAGGGATTAGGGTTTAGGATGGCTTCTAAAAAGACTAGGGTGTAGGTTGGGGTTTCGGGTTTCGGGTGACTTCCAAAAGAATAGGGTTTAGGGTTTTGCGTGGCTTCTAACAAAGACTAGATTTCAGGGTTTAGGGTGGCTTCTAATTAAAAAGAATAGGGTTTTGTTTTGTGCCTCTTACCTAGCTAGCTAGGACGAAGCCCGGTTTAGAGTTCAGGGTTTAGGGTTTAAGGTTTAAGGGTTTAGGGGCTTAGGGTTTAGGGTACATACACCTAATTGTGCCGGAGGTGCGTGAGTGCGTTGAGCATATCGTAATTGTCTTGATCCGGCATCCAGACATGCGAACTGGTACTGAAGTTTCCGCCGCTGGCGATCCTTGGCATCTTCCCCGACCACGAGAAACAGCTCATAAAAGCTTCTGAAGGATGGTTTTGAAGTCCAACCCAAAAAGGCCTAACTCACACTCAACAACCAAAACCCTTTCAGGTTCACATTCGCGACTAAGCATAATTCCTTGGTAAATCCTGGAGTACTCGGAGGTTCACGGGTTGTTATAAGAGGCTACTATGGGTCATAAGTTATAAGTATAGCTACCCTACCTTTGAGCCGTCACCTACCAGGCATCTTGATTGTTTCAGTGGTGACTCGCGATGGATGCTCGTTACTTCTCCTTTCCGCTTCACCGAAAGGCATGTGGGTGCCAACCCATACAGACAGCGCGTGCTGTCGGCTTGATCACTCCATTGTCTCTCGTAGTATAGATTAACGCACTGACGAAGCAAATTGTTACCCAAGCTTCGGGGACGGCATGCTGTTCGGAGTTTCCTCCAGATCAACATCTTGCAGTCTGTGCGGCCTGGACCCGAGCATTCGCTTGCGGGGTGACAAACGCATGCTCGAGTCCACCATGTCCGAAAACCTCTTGGCGGACTTCGCTTTGAAGCCCAACTCAAGGACCGCGCAAGGCTTCGGAAGCTGGACATGCCTCTCACATGGGGTCGCATAAACTGGCGGTATCTTTGGCGCGGCCGGGCGCTGCCACTGCCATTTTTTGCTTTCCGGCGGCTCCAATCTGCAGATGCTGGGCGCCGGCAGACTGGGTCGCCCCTGCCTGAGCTCCCTCGGCGGTAGCGGCGTCGATTCAGAGCACGGCTTTCCCGGCTCGCCTGCTGCCGATGGGTACCTCACTAAAAGTGCTTGGGGCAGGTGCAATTGGCAAAGGTCGGGTTCTTTCGGAAGCCGTCTCTCTGTCTTCATGGAAGGCCATCCTGGCCACTCGGGCACCAGCTGCACACGAGGTTGGCTGTGAGAGACCATGCGGTCGGGGGCGTCTTGTGTGCGAGGGCGCTGGGACGGCCGCTTGGAAGGGCATTCCAACCTCGTAGAGCTGGGGGCGAATGCTGGCGGCATTCTGTCTTGCGATGCCGGATGCCTTGACATGTCTTCATGCTCCTGTCTGGGAAAGCAATCACTGAATAGACGGCAGAAGCTGGCAGATTCCCCCTGCTCAGGCTCCGGTGGCAGCACTGGCGATGGCTGCGGCTCTCTCCAGGAACGCCGGATTGCTTGGAACGGAAAGCCCTGCGACTCTGGCACCAGTTGCACTCTCGGAGCAGCCGGTGAAGCACCCTGGAAGTGAACAAGGACCACCAAAGGAGGAGATGGCGATCTTTGGCAAGGGGGTGGCGGAGCAAATGCTTGAGCCTTTGGCTGTCCTTTTCTTTCTGGACAGTTTGATGGCTGTGGCTCCAACAGCCGCACATCGAAAGCTGGAACAGGAACAGTTGCCAAACGGAAAAAAGCATGGTAGAGCACAGCTGCGACGCATGCAGCACCACAAGCTTGTAAGATCACAATCGACATGATGACCAGGAGGCTATCTGGGACAGGGCTGACGATGACAAGTTGTGTCGTAGTAGTGGTTGTGGTCCTCGTGGCGGTGGAAGAGCTGGAGGTGAGTGTGGTCTGGGTGCTGGATGTCTCCGTGGATGTCGTGCGCGTTGCTGAAGTGCTGCTTGAAGTGGTGGAAGTCGTGCGGCTAGACGTCCCAGTGGTTGAGCTACTGCTGATAGATGTTGTCGAGCTGCTAGAGCTGGTGCTTGTACTGCTAGAACTACTGCTCGTTGGCGAGGTGCTGCTGGAACTGGAAGTGTAACTTGTGCTGCTGCTCGAGCTGGACGTGCTTGTCCGGCTGGTTGAACTGGAGGTGCGTGATGTGGTCGTGCTCAGTGTCACAGTCAGCGAGGTGCTGCTAAGCGATGTCGTGGAACTGGTGCTGGTGCTGCTGGCACTGCTGCTCGTTGTAGAGGTGCTGCTGGAACTAAAGGTGCGACTCGTGCTGCTGCTCGAAGCGGAGGTGGTTGTCGTGGAAGTGCTAGAACTTGATGTGCTGGTTGGGGACGTGCTCGTGCTGCTAGTGCTGCTCGTGCTTGAGGTACTGCTTGCCGTGGATGTGGAACTGGTAGTAAAGGTGGTCGAGGTTGTAGTGACAGTGAAAGACCAGAGGTCGCCACAGACGCTTCCATTGTATCCACCGTGGATGTAGACGACCTGGTTGCGGCTGTCCCATGCAGCAAGATGTGACCAGCGCCCGGATGGACCGTCGTGCTCTGCAGGAATCAAACTCCACCTGTTCTCCCCAGAATCGTATCTCCAAAGGTCTTTCGTGAGGATGCCGGCATTGCCACCGTGCAGCCAAAGCACCTGGCTTACGTCATCCCACACGGCCGCATGGCCCGACCTCGCTGTAGGCCCTCCATCGAAAAGCACTCTCGTCCAACTCAGGGTCACAGCATCCATAGTCCACAAATCTCCTAGCAAAGAGTCGCCGTAGCCGCCATGCATCCAGAGAGCTTGCCTTGTCCCATCCCACACGGCCACATGATGGGAGCGTGCCGATGGAGAATCACCCGGTGCCGGGGACAGCTCCTGCCATCCGTGGGCCTGGGTGCTGTACTTCCACAAGTCTGATAAGTGCTCGACACCTGTCCAGCCGCCATGCACCCAAAGGGAAGAAGTGCCTGAAACCCAGACTGCAACATGCGCCTGCCTTCCAGTAGGCCCGGCATCATTGGAGTCCAATGTCCATATCCCGGACTGCAGCTTCCAAACATCTCGAAACCAGCTGGCTGCTTGACCTTCGCTGCTAAAATTGCTTATTAAGCTTTCGGTTGTATTGGGGGTTGGGTCGTATCCAAGAAGTATAAAGTATACTCGTTCCGCTACCGCAAGTGACTGCTGTGCCCGCCATGAACCCACAGAGCCGGCTCTACAGGATCCCAGCCGGCAGCATGCGCAGCACGGGCTGCCGGTGCGCCAACCGTCACCGTGCTGGCCCAGGAATCGGATGTGGCGTCGAAGGCCCAGAGATCGCCTTCCAGGTTGCTTCCGCCATGGATCAGCAGCACCTGCCTCGCCTCGTCCCAGGCGCCGATGTGTTCAGACCGTGCCGCTGGGCGGACGAGGCCGGCATCCGTCAAGTCCGCCAGGCGGCTCCAGCCTCCACGAATTATGCTCCAGCGGCAGCAGAAGAGCAGCAGAGATGCAGCCGACATACCATGCTGGCAAAAACGGGCGCGAGGCCACGGAACTCCACGCAATGCCGGATTCTCTAGACCCCAACTGCTGCCGCCCAGTGATATGCTCCATGATTCTCCCGTACTCCTTTCATGACTTCCACAATGTGATCCACTGGAGCCGCATCAGCAATCGAAAAGTCCGGTCAATCAAGCTTTTTCTGCGTTAGGCCTATGTATTGCCTGATCGAGCATGAGAGGCCCGGTGCTGTCATCGAAGGGTCAGCAGATGTCAACAGACACGAAAACCTGAGAGACACAAGTCACGGAGTGCCAAGGTGCGTGCAGTCCAGTTTGCGCCGCTCGTTCTACGAAATTTCGGAGCACACAATCGGCATTTGCCGATTATGGCTGGTTTCGTCGACTGTTGCCTCTGGTGACATTCGCCACCTGCTGCTCCAAGTGAAACGAAGGCAGGCATAGAACAAGGGCCTAGTACAGGGACCTCAATAATTGGAGTGGGGTTGTGGTGAGTTTGATGTAGTATACGAATACTATGATAAGGAACCCCAGCGAGTACTACATAGTTATTCTGGCTTCTGTGCTTCTGTATCAGTGCATTTGCGCTGGGATGTGAGCTTTGCGCTTTAGGGCCTATCCACACAGATCTCGGACGAACGAGATCGGGTCGAAGGGTTGAGGATTTGGGGCGTGAGGACTTGGGGCTTAGGGTTTAGGATCCAGCGTCTAGGGTCTACGGGTTTCGGATTTGGGGTTTAGGGTTTGGGGTTTAGGTTTATGAGGATGGATTCAGTCTTGTCTGCAGTACGCGGGAAGAGATGCTGCCAATCCGCTCAGATCACGGCGACTGTTCCGGAGTCTGCCAAAGGACAGGACACTGCCCCAACTTGTGTGTCGGTCGCGAGACCTGGGCCCCGGGCCTACCTAAAACATCATTCATTCAGGAAGTATGAGCTGACAATTCGGGCAGCAGTACTTATCACCTCCATTAAGGACCTTGTAACGACACTTGTTACTGGAGTACTTCCAGCTACCCATGAGCCTGCAAATCCAAAGGTTTAAACAACCCCTTAGCCAACTTCATGTTACGGTTTAGGGTTCGGGATTCAAGGTTTAGGGCGGTATGGGGTATAAAAAGTGTCGAATTCGACCATCCCCGACACCTCTTTGCAATAAAGACAAGGATAAACTATCCTAAATCTGTACCTAGTCGAAGGCTTAGGAAAGAAGGATCCTATCCATAACATAGGTTACCCACAGAGGTACTGCAGTACATTCTCGCATCTAGCTAGGTCCCAGGCTCTGGCGTGGAAAGGTTTTACTTGGATGTTCATGGGTAGTTATAAGTGGTGTTATTTTTTCACAAGGGACTCGACTGCTGCCCTTTATACTGCCCAGCTTGAGCCACAAGACAGTACTCATGATTGTGATAAGTGGGGTTAAAAGTCCCCTAATTGATATGGGTTATAAGTCCACTAATGACTATCCATGAACCTCCAAGTACTTAAGAGAAAGCCAGCTTCAACGAGGTTCAATGTGTCTTGGGGGCCGCTGCTTTGCTTCTAATCGCCTCCCACCTAGCTAGGACTGAGATTTAGGGTTTAGGGCATTTTTTCGCCTGTATAGAATCCCTAGACCCTAAACCCTAAACCCCTAATATAGGGTTGAGACTGTGGCCTTCTAGCGCCTGCAGTTTATGGCTTCTGTTGGTTAGGGTTATAAGGGGTCTACTTGAAGGTTCATGATCAAAAAACTGCTTCTTGGGGGTTGTATATTTTGGGGGTTTAGGGTTTAGGGTTTAGGGCTTGTAAGTGCAGTTGCCGTACTTGTAGCCCTTCTTGCTTAAGTCCCTCGATCAGTTCAACACTGCTCTCTTGAGCAGCCGGCCCCACCCTGGCCTTAACCCAAAGCTTCAGGGTTTAAGGTTTAGTTAGGGTTTAGGGTTAAGACCACAAACCCCCAAGCCCACGACCCTAAACGCTACACCCCAGACAATAAGCCTAGACCCTAAACGCTAAACCCGCACCATAACCCTAAGCCAAAACCCTACATCTCAAACACTAGAACCCAGAGGAACCCATCTGGTACGCTTAAAAGCAGACAGATGGGTAGCGCCGAAAAAATGAGGGTCCCTATTAGGTCCTTTTCACAAGGGTGTGGTACTATTTTGGGGGACCTAACAGTGGGGGACCCCAACTTAGACAACGAACTACCCATGTAGTACCGTAGTACCCTGAGAAAAACCATAGAAACCCTTTATAGATCCCTTTAAGGAGCCCTAACGTAGTAAAACCCTAAACCCCAAACACTTTAAGGAGCCCTAAAGTAGTAAAACCCTAAACCCTGAACCCTAAATCCTTCAAGGAGCCCTAAAGTAGTAAAGCCCTAAACCCTAAACCCTAAAAGGAGCCCTAAAGTAGTACCCATAAACCCGAAACCCTTTAAGGAGCCCTAAAGTAGTACCCATATTATAGAACTCTTTCAAGCCCGGCCTTCGGTCTCAAAGCTCCTCCAACTTCCAGTCGAAGCCGAGACCTCGACCTTGCGGGTTTAGGGTTTAGGGTTTAGGTTTGGGGTTTAGGCTTTAGGGTTTCGGGTTCAGGGTTAGTGTTTAGGGTTTCGGGTTTCGGGTTTAGGGTTTAGGGTTAGTGTTTAGGGTTTCGGGTTTAGGGTTTTTTGCCTCCCACCTAGCTAGGACGAGCCCGCATTGCAGGGCACAGTCGAAAGCAACACTGACGTTCCGCGATGAGGGTTTAGGGTTTAGCGTTAGCTATGTTCGTACGTGTATAATTATATGTCATATGTATGTATACAGATATATATATATATATAGAGAGAGAGAGAGACACACACACACACACACATACGTACGTTCCATGTGTAATCGTCTTAAGTCCTTAGGGTCAACTTGGAGGTTCGTGGGTAGTTAAAAGTAGAGTTACAAGTCCCCTGGTATGTGTTATAAGTATATGTTACAAGTATAGATACCTGGTTATAACCCTACTTATAACTACCCATGAACCTCCAAGTAACCCTAAACCCTTCTTTACACCTGGACTAAACCCTAAACCCTAAACCCGAAACCCTCGACCCTAAACCCTAAACGACTTAAAGTTTGTTCCGTCTTTGCGAGCCCTTTTCCAAGCGCGATAGAGGTGAAATCCCGGGTTCGCGGCTGGGTTCGGGGCCGCCGTCGGGTTTAGGGTTTAGAGTGTAGGGTTCAGGGTTGAGGGTTGAGGGTTAAGGGT